TTTTAGACTACTAAGATAATGTTTTATACTCTGAAAGTTTGCGTATAAACTTCTGCTATTAAAGTGAATTAATGATAATTTGTTCTCAGTCTTGACATTGCTGTTAAACTGTTCATTCATGTAATACTTGCAGTTATTTTCAGAGTTCTTAAAAAAATTTATTTCAGGGTCAAAATCTTCGTCCGGTTCATGATAATGAATTTCAGTATCTCCAGTAGTGTTCAGTTCCAGCTCCAGTCCCTCAAAATCTATTAACTTCTGTAACAAATCACTTGCATCATTCCGTACATGGGTCATGCTTGTTGTTGTTGGTTTCAATGCTCATCTGCCGTCGCAGATATCGATATACCTGCGTGTCTTTTCAAACATGTGAGGGTCCAGCGACCCCTTCATCTCTTTGTCCTGGCATCCTGGGCGAGCTGGTCCTAGGTCCTGATTCCCAGTTCCGAGGTCTGGTCACTAGTTGATCATACCTCAGGAATGCGATGTCTCCCAACTCCCTGGCCTCCCTTAACTTCGGCATCAACTCCCTTCTTCTCTTCCTAATCTTAGGGTTAAGACTCTGTTCTAAGGTTATGATTAAAATAATGCTAGGTTGAAGTGAGGTTTAGAACAAGGATAAACCTGCAGATGTACTGTCATTTAAAGCAACATCCCTACAAGGGTGTGTGACTCACCTTCTTGTAGTACAGCTGCGTCATGGGATTCATCTGGCCAGTCTGAAAGAAATGAAGACAGAAAAGGATGGGCGTTACCTAAGCAAGACCAGGAAGCAGAATATCCATGTACAATAGGCAAACATGCACAGAAAATAGAAGTGACTTAAATAAAAAGTGATAAAAAGATGCTGATCACTACAATACAAACCGAGAATGTGAACCAGAAGCATATGGAGCCCAGTAAAGCTACATATATATATATACACATTTCAAAGTATTAAAGTCAACCCAATTTACAAAACACCTATAGAGTAGTTATATATTGTACAGTGTTCTTCTGTGTTGGGATAATCATAGAAATCATGGAGGACTATTTTCACTTCCACCTTAAGAAAAAAAAAAGGTTTCCAATGAACACTGTTCACACTGACGTCTGGATTATTCAGAGCAGCTGTGACAATGATTCTAGAGGCAGAAGCTGCTGCCAACACTCATCTCATGCACTCATCTCTGCTGCCCCTGGATAGCAGTAGATTTAGCTTGGTTCCAAACCTCTCACAATGCCCACATGTCAGATTTTTCACTGATTCAGACAAGTCTGGTCCAGGATAAGCTTTAGCTATAAACAAGTGCACTGAAGGCCTTTTCCCTGGTTGGAAAACAACCAGTCCGATCACAACTTGGTAAGTGGGATCAGTAATGGGGCCATCCATGAATTCTTGTGCCAGACATGTATGTGATCAGCCCATTTATTTTATACATGTTATTGTTGGTCGACATTCAGAAATAAAAACTCATTGTGCATTGTGAATGTCACTCATTAATAAAAATGTCAAAAACACAATGGAAATGACATGTCAGACTGAATGATGACAGAAAATCAACATTTAGTCTGATTTAGTACAATTAAACTAAAAGACAACAAAAAGTAATACTAATTTCACCCTGAGTCAATACTGTAGTCCCAAAATAAAGTCTTAAAATAAGACTGCTGAAACAGCATTTAAGACTGAAAACTGACTTCTATCTGACATATGAAGAGTTGACGTGAACCAGCAGGAGTACAGTTGGTGTATTTTTACCAGAGAGAAAAACCTCCAACCTAAACCTGAACCCACACAGTCTGAAACAGTGATGGACAGGCAGACAGTGCAGAAGATCTACATACATTCAGCACAATAAACAGCACACAGACCAAGAATAAGCCTCATCTCACAGCATTAGTGGCACTAGTCTTGTTAACTCTGCTCATGTAAGCCCCGTGAACCACTACCTCCTGAAGAACATTTAGCAATGCCACATGTTTACACATTTGTGTTTGTGTGTAGGTTTTCTCATATTGATTTACTGCACTGTAATTGCTCCACATTTGTTTATTTTGGGGAGTAAACACTGAAGACAGACTAATGTGATGGTTTTACATTTTCATACTGAGTATGGGATTAGCCCTCCAGCAGTAAAACATCAAGATGAACACAGAGGAGAAAAATACTGCTAACAATTTGCACGCGTCTCTGACTAAGAAAGAGCTAATTACTGAAGCTGTCTGAATGCTGAAATAGGGAAATAACACTTATCTTTGTCAGTATGTGGTACTTCTGAAAAAAGAAAGACTGAACAGTGATGTGAACTTCTGGTCTAAAAATAAATAAATAAATAAACTAGTGCTATAAGCCAGGAGGAAAAACGTAATAAAAACTGTGGGCACCAACCTCATTTTACATTTGATTATCATTAGTCACATGTGCTTGGAAAGTAAAACAGGGAGGCCAGGAGCAAACTGCAGTCTGAACAGATGTTTATGTCCAGCTGTTTCCTCCCTGGTATAAACACCCAAGGAGGTAAATTAAAGCACAGATTGTGTAGTTCAATGTATTGTGCTATAGATCAGTTTGGTTAATGGATATGACTGCTGTGAGTATAGCCTTTCAATTGTTGGTTGCGTCTCTTATCAAACCTTTTATCTCTGCTATAACAACGGCAAACGTAAGGGTAACGGCCTCTCATTTTTAGCCAACTGTCTGTCACTGGCAGCAGATTAGAGCCAGTGTAGCTAATAAAATATATTCCATAAGAGCTAAAAGGAAAAGCTGGACTGTTCTCTGGTGAAGGTGCTCTCTGCAGCTGGTGCCTTTACACAGCAAAAGATTGATATCCTTTCACTCATCAACATTGTATAACACCACAGTACAACCATCAGTGGTGCCTACTGCCTATAGACAAGTGATCAGCTGATCACCAGTTTAACTTTGAATCATACAGACCTTTTTCACAGCCATTGATTTGCCAAATTGTAATAATGCTATTAGCTACACCTGTGCTTTGCCTACAGTGACAGTTCAAAATCTCTGCTGCAAAAAGGTCTATTTTAATGTGATTATCTTTGCAGCTCTGAATCTGTGCCTTCAAAATAGCTGATAATGTACAATAGGCCACCGCTGTTCATTCATTGTATCATACTGCATATTTACAGTAGCGTGTAAATTCAAAAAGACAAACTGTGTTTTAGATAGTGAATTTGAATCAAAAGAATGATAAAACAGTAAGACATTTGTTTACATTCAAGGTTTTGACCTGGTAAAGTTCATATAGAACATTAAATATGATAGCATCAACAGGGGCAGGCTTGTGTTAATGATTGCACCTTTGCATTAAAGAAAATGCTCTAATGTTTTAACAGTCAACACTGAAAGACTTGAAAGATCTTTACTTGTAGTTTGCTTCTGAGGAACTGTGTCTTGACTAAGGCTGCAGCTAACAATAATAGTTTGATACATGTTCTTTATTCTTGATTAATCGGCTAACCATTTGGTCAATAAAATGTCACAAAATGGTGAAAAATATGCAGTAGCTCACAATGTCCTGCAACATATTTGCATTTCAACAAGGTTGTAATTGGTTTGGGGAATGTGGCAGGGAGGGAAGAAAATACTGATGGAGCACAGAGATGTTTTTAGAGGCTCTGCCATCTGAATATGAAAAATAAAAAAAAATACAATGCACACTGTTCCCTCTCATTTTTCGGTCGGTGGAGGATGTGAACAGGCCTAATTTTGCAGCAGTGGGAAGGTGCTACAGTGTGAATGCAGATGTGACAGAAAACTACAAAATCAAAAGAAAAAAATACTAATGGCATAAAGGAAAATTCAAATAAAAGTGTGTGTGGTCACACAACCCAGTTTCACTGCAAATTACGTAACTTGGTTTTACTGACAGGTTGCTCTACAAGCCTAACATTCAGCCCTTGTGTGTGTCTTCAGATGAAGCCCAGGCAAGACTGAAAGAATCAACCAAAGCAAAAACATCTGAAGCCAAGGCATTCTCTGGGCAACATAAATGTACATTAAAATCCCCCAGAGTAAGAATACTGTCATTCTTGGACAAAATTATAGACACAAATTCATAAAATTCTTCTGTAAAACCAAGATTAGACCTATGTGGCCTGTTTACTATAATACAAAGAATCAAGTAATCACTTCAAAACAAAAAGGTAACATTTCAAAAAGAAAAGCCAAGATGAAGTTCTGCTGCAGGTAAGGCTCCTCAAAATGAAAACCTTCCACCCAGGACTGTTTGCTGAAGAGCCGTTTCACAAATAGGGAGTGGGGCCTCGCTTCTTGACCTACTTATGGGCTATACAGGGGAGGTTCTGGGAAAGTGACAGAATACCGTCTTGTAGGTTCACTAGTGCTGCGAAGCAGAAATGCACCCATCAATCAGCGGAGATCGGAAACAGGTGGTATTCAGTGTGATCAGCCTTGACCAGTGACCAGCCAATCACTCTTAAGATTTCTGATTCTGTGCTGTTCAGATTTAGAGGCGACAGGCCATGTCATACAATGGCACAGACTAAAAGCCTAGCGTGTGCAGCATGTAGCATGTTGTGTGCATCTCAAGTGAGACTTGAGTTTGTGCCTGTATATACGGTATATGAACACTGTATCTAATCTGTACTCAATAGGACTGATGTAACAGACATTCTACTATTTCTATTACCTGTTGCACCCATTTACTGTATATTTGGATAAGTACAACGATTGCATTTCATTTTTTGTAATTTAATTTTTCTTTAAAGTTACAAAAATATTTGTCTATGCTGTCAATTTTCGGCAGGTCAGAATAAAAATAAATGAAAAAAATCAGAATTGCCCAAGAAAATTGTAATCAGTGCATCTTTACTGTGAAGGAGTTCGTGAGAGGGAAGAAATCCTCACCTCCTGCTGGGTCGAAGAGAGAAAGACCCTACAACTTGGGATGACAACAGAAGCCCAGGAGAAATTAGTGACTGATTTTCCAGAGCAGCACACACACCAGTAATGGGTCTGTAACTGATGCACAATTCACAGTATCCAGTGCTATCAGCTGAGAGGCAAGTTGAGCCCGTTTTTGAAGAGGTTTAATGACCAGTTTTAAGCTCCATAACTATAACTCAATAAGAACCATCTTAGTCCATGCTGCAGTGGATCAGTATCTGGTGGCAGAAGTTATCGTTATCACCAGCTAACTAAAAGGAACAACAGAGGCTGCTTCAGGCGGCGCAGCCCCAGAGGGATCCTGGATAGATCCCAGGTATTCAAGAGCCACACAGTGAAATCCAGGAAACTCGCAGGTAAGTGAGCTGATACTGAAAAGCTGAAGAGACACCTGCACACTTCATTCTGTCAAGTTCAAACAGAGTTTGCTTCTGAAGAAGAGTGACAAATCAAACAGATACAGGTCCTGACTCCTAAATCCGACCATGGAGCTACCAAGTCTGCTGTGTACCAGAAATCCTCTGAACAAGCAGCTGTCAGGTTATCTCTGTTGGTGGATAGAGGAGAGCTATCCTGGTCAGACATGGGAGACGTACAGTACTCATCTGAGAGTGATGCAAAAAGTTTTGCTCCACTGATGTTTAAAAGCACTGAGTATTTAAGAAGAAATGGCAATGTCTCCGCTGTCCGTGGTCCCTCTGTCAACAGCTGAAAGATTAATTAATGCCTCCGGTTCCCAGCATTGTCAAGTCGACTAAAATTACTGATTCAAGTAGTAAAGGAGGGGTTTCCATGGAGCTTTGAAGC